ACTACATGTGAACTCCTTATATGCTAACATGAGTAAGATATTTGAATTCTCGAATTTAACCACATTGCATCAAAAAAATGAGACTAACTTGATACAAACTCAAAACTATATTCACAACATAATACAAAAACCATAAAAATATGACAAATTACAAGTTAAAAAAGATCCACATTCTTATCCCATTCAAAAAGAAGATTATGCCCCCAAATCACATCTTCCATCCGAACATGAGATCGTTGATGAGTTCGAAGGATCAAAGAACTCTAGCTAAATCTGTTAAAATGCAATAAAATCCTATTAAAAAATTTTATCCAATAATTCTATGACAGTATTTGAAGGGAATATTAAAATGCCAATAAAGATTATCACACAATAATGATGAATTTACTTGGAATCCACTGACTTGTGAAAATTTAATGAGCTAAAAGGCTCAAAAATTGCCATAACTTGTGATAGTGTGGCCCATGTAAGCAAACCCTATTATTCAAACACGAGCCTCATTTTGTCAAATCTTAACTTTGGTGGCTGTTAAAATTCTTGCTGACATTTCTTCTCAGATCTCTCTCCCTCGCATGTATCATATACACACACAAATACATCTTCAACAATATGAGGATAAATATAACTGAAATTGCTTTCTTTCTTTGTAATTAGATTTTTTATTTACGGGAGTTGCTATACTTTTGAACGATCGAAAAAACAAGGACCGTGTTCATCATATTATTCTTAATTTTTTTCTTCTAAAAAAATGATTCGACAACCTGCAAAAACCTTAATCGATTCACAATTTTCGATTGAAATTGGCCAGTCATCGAATTTTACACTGATGTCTCAATCGATTTTTTCACTATGACGAAACCAGATTTTGATCTGATTCCTGATTTTTCGATTGAACCAACCAATCCAGTCCAATTTTCATCACATTGATTTTTGAAGAAAATTGATCTAATGTGACTTCTAAAAACACTTCCAAAATAAGCTCTCTTAAAAATTGTTTTCCAAACAAAAAGCCACATACCAAAAGAGCCCTAAACTTGCCATGAGCAAATTGTAGATTTTTCTATATTTTGGTGCATTTATTGTACATGACAGCAGATTGATTTTCTTATTGCAGCTTTGACAAAGTAACAACAAATCAAGGAGGTAATGCAATAATATGGATAACAATGTCCATCCTAATCGGCAAACCAATTAAATATAGAAAAATGTTATTCATTCCCAGTAGGGATGCATCCCCAGTCTATGTGGATGTAAATGATTGGTTAAATGATAAGTGAAATTAAATAAGTCATTTAATTTCACCTATCATTGAACGCCACATAAACTGGGGATGCATCCCCAGTGGGGATAAATAGCATTTCTCTTAAATATAGGGACTCAAAGAGCCAAGGAAGATAAAAGCATACGAGAGAAGATAGTGGTTACAATCAAGAGGACAGCTATTCTAATTGATTCCAAGATTATATGGCCTTAATATTGGAAAGTCCAGAAATTTTATGTCCAAAAACTGAAACACAGAACAAATGCTCAACTCTGGAAACGACAAAAGGTCAAGAGGACAGCTATTCTAATTGATTCCAAGATTATATGGCCTTAATATTGGAAAGTCCAGAAATTTTATGTCCAAAAACTGAAACATAGAACAAATGCTCAACTCTGGAAACGACAAAAGGTGGGGTAGAAGAAAAATGAGAGAACTTGATGTACTGCAAACTCTGAAGCCAAGCTCAGTCTTCCAACTGGACATTCAAGACCTTGGCTTTTCCTTCTTCTCTTTAAAGAGTGCCAAAAGAGACACACCTGACACCTTCACAACCTTGAACCGGACTCCAGGAATGTCTCCAACAGCATGCCCCTTACGACCAAATCCAGCAATCAGCACCTCATCCTGTGTCAACCAGATAAAACTTTGTCAAGTCAACAAGAAGATCAAGTAAGCACAGTATGGATGTTAAATGAACCAATGGCTGAAAAACTTATCACACTACTCACATTCTCTTCAATGTAATTCAAGCAACCATCGTTGGGTACGAAGGCAGCAATCTTTTTCCCGTTCTTAATCAGCTGCACTCGAGCACATTTTCTAATAGCAGAGTTGGGCTGCTTGGCTTCAATACCACTGAAATTCATTCAGTAATACTGCTTCAGTCTTCGATATGAGCTACAAACATAGGGCAGTTAAGGCTTTTCAAGGGGAAAAAAGATACAAGCAATTTCTTACATTTTCTCAAGAACAATCCCTTTTGCATGAGAGGAGCCCGCAAATGGCTTCTTCCATTCATTGCCAAGATGGGATTTCTTGTAAGCCTTATCAGCCCACCTTTGCCTTCTACGGTGGGACTTAAGCTTGCGACCAGCTCCCATTCCACGTGTCTTCCTGCATAAAAGAGTCAGTATAATGTAATTAGCAACTCCAAATATGAAAAGAAAATAAAAAGCATTCCATATGCTGTAATTGTGGTCAGCCTAAAAAAGAGTATTGTACACAAAAGTGCATAACATTTGAGGAAGGACCTCGACAAAAGTAAAATCCAAATACTAAGATAAAAACAAGTGAAGGCACACTGCATTGCCGCAGCGAATGCACATGAAGACCTGACTATACCAAAAAATTTACTATGATTTACATGCAAGCAATTTCAATTGTTTGAATATAACTTCCAATTATATGGATAAGTCTTGTACAGTACAAAGAGTTTCCTAGATCAAAGTTTATATATATATTTAGGATATGTTACAGCCCACTATTCTGCCACTCCATTGACAAACTGGAATTCAGAATATTTAGAGGGATGTTTGATGTTAGTCCATTAGCATTCAAAACTGCTCATTGCCCTTCAAGGGCTCTTCAGCTTTGCCAAGATGGACTAGTTAAATTAGCAATAACTATTTCAATTCTAAGAAAGCAATCTTTTTTCAAAGAAAGAAGAAATATTCATGAATGTAAAACCATCATTTTCAAAGGTATCTTTTATAAATGTTTCATCTCCACTGATCTGTAGCTTCATTGCTTAATAGAATCCGAGAACAATCTAGAGATACATTGATTTTAGTCCAATAGCATTCAAAGATACTAATCACCTTTGGAAAGACCTCTTCAGCTTTGCCAAGATTAACTGGAAATAACCATTTTCAACTCCACAAAAACTAATCCTTTTAAAGTATTTACTTCAAAAGAAATACTTGTTGATTATACAACATATTATTTTTTAATGGTTCCATATTTTTAAATGTTTCATCTTAACTGATCTGCAACTTCATAGCTTCAGAGAAGCCAAGAACAGTTTAGAGAGACATTTGATTTCAGTCCATTAGCATTCAAAGCTGCTCATGGCCCTTTGAAAAGAACTCTTCAGCTTTGCCAAGATGGACTGCAAATAACAGTTTTAAATTTCACAAAATTGTTCCTTTTAAAGAATACTTGTATGAATGAATTCTCTGGAATATAACCTACCATTTTCAATGCAGATGTTTTTAAAATGTTTCACATCTACTGATCTGTAACTTCATAGCTTAAGAGAAGCCAAGAACAGTTGAGAGAGACATTTGATTTTAGTCCATTAGCATTCAAAGCTGCACATGGCCCTTTGAAAAGAGCTCTTCAGCTTTGTAAATAACTATTTTTAATTTCACAAAATAGATCCTTTCGAAGAGAATATTTGTGCGAAAGAATACTCCGATGTTGATGTTTTCTAAATGTTTCACCTCTACTGCTCTGCAACTTCATAGCTTAAGAGAAGCTTAGAACAGTCTAGAGAGACATTTAATTTAAGTCCATTAGCATTCTAAGGTGTTCATCGCCCAGGGCTTTTCAGCTTTGCCAAGATGAACTCAAAAATTAACCAAAGCTGTACCACCCTCCCTGCACCACCGCTCCAGTATCAATTTTTTTTAAATTAAAAACCACTATTCAGAAACCAAAATGATGTCGCCAAGCATTCAATGCATTAAAATATTTATCCTTGACATGCATTTCACTTTCAAAAACGAACAACGGAGAAAAATATCTGATTAGCAAATTCCCAACAACGTCAGCTCAACAAGGTATAATAAGCAGATAAACTTATTATTTTCCTGGCAGCATCTTTACAGGATGAAATTTAGTTATATAACCACAAAAAACATTACAAGAACACAACAAAATAAAAACTCATACGGCATTAACTTCTCCTATCAATCTAATACTACCGGGTAGAATACATAGCAAAATTATGTAAAACAGAGTAAATATTTGAAAAGATTTGTACCCCATGGTGGCGGAAAAATGGCGGCTCTCCGGCTATGCGGCGGCGAAAAGGGTTTTGCAGTTGTGAGCTTCTCTGATGGAGCTGCTATACCACTGATTATGAAACCCTAAATCCGGGATGCATTAAGTAGAAGATAGTTTTCCGTAATTTCGGTCCATATAACTGTTTTGGACTGGGCTTACATATCCAAAGAAATAAAACGGGCCGTGATTGAAGTTTTTGAGGATAATTTAGCATGTTAATTACACAAAATCATACTTTAAGTATTAAACCTTCCAAAATCAGATTGGAAGTTTAATATTTCCAAAATCAGATATTTTTATTAATTAATATATTATTACTAAATAAAATATATGATTAAATTAAATTAATTTATATACCAAACCCTAACTCCATCCACCCACCTCTCATTTCCCCAAACCCGCCTCTCTCTAAGTCTCCTCTCGTCGGCCGAACTCTCCTCTCGCCGCCAAAACCTGTCTCTCTCTTAACATTCCTCTCACCGTAGTCGCCACATCACGACCTTCGCCACCTCTACGCAACGCCCGCTGCAGCCACCGGAAGAATCACAGTCGCTATAGAGCTCATCGCCACGAGAAGACGCCACCGGAAGACATCACTGCGATGCTGCTACCTGCGGCGCTCTTTCTCTCTGTCCTCTCCCTATGAGCCGACATCGCTGCATTCGCTACTAGAAGGCTCCACCGAGCACTGGGAGCTCTTCGCTACTAGAAGGCTCCACCGAGCACTGGGATGCCGCTACCCATGGCGCTAGGAGCCCACTGCGCTACGAGAAGTACTGCAAAATTGGTGGCTAAGTACGTGCCCAAAATGCCAATATTGTCCGTTGTGGTTTCTGAAATCAAAATCAAGACTGATTCCTTTTATTGGTCTTGTAGTGATGAGTCTGCTGCTAGGCACGCCTTATTTACAGGGGGTTGGTTCATGTTCTGTGTGCAGGATCTGCAAGGGCTGCTCATGAAGAATCAACTGAGGAAGCACTGGAATTCGACCTTGAACATGCTAAATCAAAAGGACTCTACAAGGTCGGGGATGTTGTCGTAGCCTTGCACCAAATTGGAACTGCATCCATCATCAAGATTGTGACCGTAAAGTGATGATGGTTTTTGATGTCTATGTTTGGTTTTGCAAAAGGTGACGGCGATATTGTTGGTGCTGAAGATTGTCATGATTTTTGGTTTGCCGTCGATTGGTGAGGCTGTGTTGGCGACGTTAGTGATGGTGGTTGTGGTGAGTTGTTGGCGGTGGTGGCAGTGGTGGAGTAGGGTTAGGGCATGTAAGACTGTGGTGGTGGTGGTGATGTGGTGCTATATAGTTTATGTGACCAATTCTGTGACCAGAGCCATGTGCTGTAACCTATATTGTGACCTGAGCCATGTGCTGTGACCTATACTGTAACTATCAACAAAAATCTGAGCGTTTAAAAATAACATGAGACTATGAACAAAATCGTGACCTGTACTGTGACCATTTGAAAATAACATGAGTATAAACAAAATCGTGAGCCATATGCAATATATTATGTGACCTGTGCTGTGACCATTGAAAATAATCCGTGGCTATTAACAAAAATGTAAGACATGTGCCTTATCGTGTTATCAATCATTATAAACAAACAATCATGTGTTGTGACTTGTGACCTGAGCTGTGACTTATGACTTGTGACGTGAGCTGTGACTTGTGACGTGAGCTGTGACTTGTGATTTGTGACTTGTGACCTGGGTTGTGACAGTAAAAAAACATGTCAACCGTACAAAAAAATATAGCGGAGTTGTCGCCGGAATATTCGTCGGAGTTGGAACAACTGCCGGAATCGGAGCAGTCGCCGGAAAAAATTGATGCCGGGACGATCGCCAGAATAGTTGCCGGAACGGTCACCGGAATCGGAGTAGTCGCCGAAACGGTCGTCGGAAAATTCACTGAAGTAGGGCGGTGATCGGAACGGTCGCCGGAGCGGTAGGGGTGGTGAATGTGAGATGAGTTAATTATATTATATTATATTAGAATTAAATATTTAATAATTTATTATTTCATAAATAAAATTTTAAAATTTTTTAATAAAAATCTGATTTTGAAAATTTCAAATTTGTTTTTTTATTTTTGAAATATTCTAAACTTATTCTCTTTAATATGTAATATTCCCTAATTTAACGGACAAATCACCTTAAACCCTACCCTAAGCTCCCCTTTAGTGGGGATTAAAACTAATTTTTTTTTAGTAAATTTTAATAAAATTTATGAAATGTGTGGTTGAAAAATTGTGAAACCTATAAAATTTGTGGTTAAATTAAATTGTTAACTTTGACTTAAATTAAAATCTTGAATCAATACCAAACAGGGGCTTAATTTAAAAAATCGGGCCTTAATTATGGTGCTGTCCAGGAGCGATTAAGCATTTTCAAAAATTGATTTTCAAGTCAAATCATGTACAGTGCTTGTCCTTGGTTGCCTCAGATTTTGGATAAAATTTCCACTAATGCCCTCGTATCATACAAAGTTGTAATTGATTCTTTGACTAATCTTGCAGGTTTGAATTAATTAATGTGGGCCCATTGTCTTCAATTTTTTGGGAATTCATTTGTCTTCAACGAACTTGTTTTCTCGTCAACAATTTTTCTCCTCAACAACGTGTAATGGACAAGTATTGGAAATAATTTTTTTGCACTTTCGTTATACGAAATTTTTTAGGGCATGTCTGTACGCAATGTCTATTATAATTCTACCCGTTAACAGACAAAAAAGCAACCGTTGGACGATGCGTTCGCAACTGTGGAGATGGAACCTGACGCGGCGGAGGTAGAACTTCCAGATGAACAAGAAGAAGCTGCCGCTGAAATGAATGCACCAGAAATGCAACGCAATGAGTAGGATTGTTTTCGAGATTTCTTGGTTCAAAGCCAGTGAAGTTAATTCTGTATAACAACACCGTTATCCAAAAATAATTGTCTCCATATACGATTGAATTGTCTTCGTTGGAATAATTCGCTTAGCAATGCGACTTCTTAATATTACTGGATTATCAAAAACCAATTCACACATTACTCATCACTGTATCGCACCATGTATAAATTAATTCTGTATAACAACACCGTTATCCAAAAATAATTGTCTCCATATACAATTGTATTGTAATCGATGGAATAATTCGCGACTTCTTAATATTACTGGGTTATCAAAACCCAATTGAGATTTTACTCATCACTGTATCGCACCGTGTATAACTACAAATGCGAGGACATTTTCCTGTCCAAGGAGAAGGGAAAAGAAGAAAGAAAACAAAAGTAAATAGTTAATACCATTTTGTACTTACAAGATTTAAAGAAGGATTATTCGTGAAATTAACGTAAATATATATTATCTTCTTCCTTAGCCAAAATATCACATGTATCACAAGTCACACAACACCTATTTGCAAATCACAAGTCACACAGTACCCATTTGCAAATCACAGATCGCAGCTTCACGGATCGCAACACAGCACACAAAGGTATGAATTTTTAGAGACAAAGTGAGCACGCAAAAGGGAAAAACCTCAACTGGAGGCTCCTCCGCTTGCGGAGGCTGCAATCTCCGCACGCGGAGGCAAGCAGCTTGCCTCCGCTTGCGGAGATGGTTGGGCCGGAGATGGTTAGGCATTTCTTGGAATAAATTTTTTTTCTGTGATTTATTTTATCTGTGATTTGATTGATCTATGTTGTTCAATGGTAGTTAAATTTATGAAATATAAAAATTTATATACAATTTATTATTAATTTGTTCAGATGTCTCTTGAATATATCATTCCACCAAATGCATGGTTCTCCGCTACCATCACCCAATTTCCGATCCACGAGTATATTAAAGATTTTATAGAACTTATCGATGAAGATAAACAAGCTTTACTATTGTCCAGTAATAGCAGCTTCTTTGGATTTATTTATAGAGCTATCTACAGAGTGGAGCAACAACAATTCTGTAGCAGATTGATACACGAATTTATATTGAGAATTTTGACTCTGGAAAAACAAACGAAATATGGATACGATTAGGTGATCAATTTGCCAGATTTGGTATGCAAGAATTCTATCTCATCAATGGATTACCCTGTCATGAAGTGTCTTTCGAACTTGACTCCAGTGACGACCGAGTTAGACTAGTTTATTTTAACGGGATTAGGAGAATCACTATGGTAATGCTTTCCGAATCTGTTACTGCTATAGCCTTCAAGGAATGCCAAAATCTGATTACCTGGAGAAAAATTGGCCTTTCGTCATTATCATAGATTGTGCCTTTTGTTATTATCATACATTCTCAATCAATGCCATGGAAGAAAAATTGTGCCTTTTGTCATTATCACATATTGCTAGAAGTCATCACATGGGTGTGGCCTACTGATGACAATATCCCATGAACATAGAAGAATACATGAAAATAAACAAACTAGGTCCTAAACTCCCGTGCATTTACTGAAAGTGGTGCAAACTGTATAGTAAACATATTGTTGTAGTATTCACAAGTTGTCTGGATTGTCGCGTTCAATATATGTAGATGCTTAAAAATTTTGAATTCATTTTGTCACAGTAATGTAGATAAGAGGAGAAATTGGTAGTCTTCATCTTCAGTAGCAAATTTCAGAGCACCTCCAACAAAATACTTCATAACGAATTTCTTAATTTGCAGACACTGGTTCCACATTTAAAAAAAAAACGTGAGCAATGACTTCTTCTTAATGACAGGATGGTACCTAAATTTTCCGAGCCCACCACTCATCGGATGCCCCAATCTTTGCCAGTTGTAGGATCGTAGGAGATGCCACTGCAGTTCAGCAATTGTTCTAATCGTTTGTGTTTCATGCGGAGGGCATCCCATCGATTTTTCAGTTGCTGCTTGTTCCCATCGTGGTCGGAAGTGGTGTTGAACAGGTTAATTATTGTCTCCCAGCCGTGCTTGGTGAAGCACTTGCCGTTCCTGTGTCCGTCAGCGATAACGGACTCGCAGGTAACCACGAAGATGTTTGTGTCATATACATTCCACATAGCATTCTTACGTGGCATCCTATGGTTGTGAACTGAAGGGCAGGTCGAGGTCGACAGTGACCCCGTTGGAAATTCTGCTGTAATCGAAATCAAATTTTAAAATTTTGTTCAAGCATGACATAATTACCCAATCACGACACAATTTTGTTCATTTTGTTTGAAAATAGCAGGTAACTCCACTGTAATTGGAAAATGGAATAAAACTTACCCAAGACGGTTCCAACGGATCCATCACAGTCTGTGAAAATGTTGAACTCTACACTGACGAAGAAGGAGGAGCACCGAAACGTTTTCTTGTATTGGTGATTTCCTGGCTGCTGTGGTCGATAGCAAGTCCAGGTGAAGCCTTTTTCAGATGCGGTGGGTGTGGGCGTCTGTGGACCGAATTCAATTTTGGGGGAAACTGCTTCCAATGTGGGAAAGGTAAAGGTGGCTACTGGACCCACTTTACCACGGCTGGAGGAGAAGAAATCAGCAAGCACAAAGAAGTTTGAGGCCGTAGATTTAGGCTGCAGGGTGAGTGCTTGTGTGGGCTTCTCCTTCAGTGGAAGTTGTCGACAATTAGCGGTTGATCAGACCGTTGCAGACCCCAGATGTTTCGGTGCTACGGTCGAACCTTCTCCAAGCCGGATACGGTGGTTGACGGAGCTGAAATGGTAGAAAGTTGTATTGGCGATTGTCGGTGGAGGAAGGTCTGCACAGTCGTGTTGGTTGGCCAATTTGTGTGGTAGGTGGGTTGTCTTATCCACTATAATGCCACAGTTGCTGCAGGGTAGGAAATGAAAAAGAAAATAAATTGGGCAGTTGGCTAATTGTGATTTTTGGACCGTTGCAAATATAACGGTCCAATGTTGAATTATAATCAGGTCTCTAGCGGGCCCAGACAGGGTATATATATATTTTTAATAATCAGATCTTGATTATTTTTTAATATAAAACTTATATATACCCCTCTATCACCATACCTACCCCATATATTAGTTTATGTTTTATATATACCAAAGTTCTAAAACGCGTAATATGTTGAAA